TAGTTTCCACGCCGTGGCCTCGGTGTGGTTTGATTTAACATGCCGGGGCCTCAACAAGCATAGTCTTCGCAACCTGGCTTCCTTGTTTGGAGTAATCGCTTCGCTAAGACTAAACGTACACTGCCTAACAATTAGATTTACGCAAGCGGATGCGACAGCTGATGAATGCGTAGCAACAAGCACAAGTAATGCTCAATAATTCATTCAATGGATTAACTTAGGTGGGAACATCAACCTGATGATGTTAATAGGTTACATGCCGCAGAGATTGAACAACAATTGCACTTCTTATGTAAACCGATATTTAATCTAATTTGGCAGGAGATGAATTGTCTTTGTGAGTTGACAATCACCAACTTTGACCACCCGGAAAAAGGCGTGTCAAATGCGCGTAATTGCTTAACTTTAATTCTTATTTTGCAATAAAAAACGATCATAACTATTGTGCTTACTTGTGTGTGAAGTGTACAAATGCAACAAGTTAGAAGAACCAGACAGCCGTGAACAAGGGTGTTGCATACGGGCATGTCCAGTCGCCTGTCTTATCTACCCTAACGCAGCATTGCCTTGCTTAAATGAATGTCATTGAAACGACAACTTGGACACGTCAATACAAAGTTACTTAAGCACATTGCTGACCGCGACTGCTTCGTTTTAAATCACGCAATCTAAGCCATTCAGTGCATCGTCACAAATTAGATAGCTCGACTGTGTGAGCATCTTAGCCGCACCAGATGGATTTTGCACCAACTGAGCCTTATCTTTTGTAGATGAGACCAACAAATTGATAAGTAGAGGTTTTAGACGGCTTTTTAAATTACTGGCCTGCGTCTGTAACCTGATCGTCTAAGGACCTTTGTTCAATCAACGTAAAAGACTGATTAATCACTGTCTTATAGAGGAGCGCTAACATATTCCAGAACTGTAACAGAAACAGGCTAATAAGACAAAATCTTAAACCCAGCTGGTGTTTTGGAGTAGGTTTAATAACTCTACTGACACGTAGCTATCAAAATCCCAGTAACTAGAAGTAGTCTGGTGGTGTAAGTCAAAGTTATTTCATGTGACAATCGCGATTTCAGTTTAGGCGAGGACGGGATGACAAAAGTCTTGAGCTAGCAGAAAACATTCCTTAGCAAATGACTTACGCCGTTTGTGTAGCCAATCAAAAGACAGAACACCAAGACCCTATTTTATGGCTGAGTTGACTTAGTAAATTTCCCCACCAGGGTTTATGTTCCACTAAGCGAGGCGGTAATGCGGACATAGTTGCTGAGGGTATGGTTAGTGCAGATCAGAGAGCACCAGTTGCGTTTAAGTCACTCTAATTTACACCACGACATATCCGACCTACAAATGATTGCGTGCCATTTTTTTTCCAGTTTTACTGCTGGCCACATTTAGGCAAACAACTTGCCATCACAACTTCCGGTTTGAAAAACCGTCTTTGGTCGGCAGGGGTTCTGAAGTGTTTCATCTTTGTGTGGACTGCTAAACTGCACTGGCGCATTAAATCCTTACTGTTGCCGGACGAATTTTGTTTGGAAACAACCAATCAGGTGGCTAGCGACCTCTAAAACAGTACCATCGGTGTGCGTACTACACGAATCAGCTTTCAGCATGGAAAACTTACACTTTTCAGAACTCATGTGTCCTGTCTGCGAATGACTCAACAGTATTGATTGGACATTTGGTCTAGAAAGGTTGTTTTCGATGTGCCTGCTGACAACTCGTGCAGGCAACTGTAATTCTTCGTATATATCTCACTAGTCAACCAGCGTTGAGTTGGTTGCACCTATGGACGTCTGATGTTGTCCCACCGACAGACTTGACCGATTTTTGAAGAAAAACCCTGAATTAAGCACTTAAATGAAACTCACCCATACATTTCTAAGATAAATTTATAAACATTGATTTTCAAATTCTTAATGCGGACAGTACAAATTAGTTCTTGTGTTGCGTCCTCAAGTAGCTTTAAATTCGTTTGAAGTTGAATATGAAATAAGCAACCTGCATTTCGCTTGTTGACGCAAAACTATGCCGAGTTTTTGGCTGCGAAGGGACACAGTCTCCTTGTCAAGTAAGCTAAAACATTATCAATAGCTCTACTAGTTGGAATGCTACTTATTCAGCCACTTGCGAGAGGCGAACCATTGATGCATTCTTAAGTTCAAACAGATTACTTCATTTGGCTGTTCTAACTGTCAGTTACCAGGTCTGAGTCACTGCATTCCCTACATTAAATTTGTGCACAAACTCGATGACTCTCTTCATGAAACAGATAGAATTTAAAGTGCTAATTTTGACTGATTTGGATGGACGATTTTTGAATCTACAGAGACAGAACTTGACGTTAAACCACACAAAATGCTTCGTGTACCAACATCAAGTGGTTTCCAAGATAAGGCGATCATTTCTGCTCACTTACAAGCACCTACCTTAGACTGAGGTCCACTGTCTTCACTGCAGTGGCAAGTTTTTTTAGCAAATCAGTAGCCTCTCTGTTTATTATCGATTTGTACATTCTTCATCATTCGCTTAGTACGGCATTCATACACTTTTAAATTAAACACCCTGACCGAAATAATCCGCAGCGAATGTCATGCAAATTAAGCTTTTTTAAAAGATCTGATATGCAGTGGAAAAAGATTGATTTTCATACACTTTTTTGGGTTTTTAACATGCTTCCAGACCGAATATTTAGCACCTTATTTCAAAATATATCAGTGTGAAAATAGCAGTAATTTATTAATTGATAAATGAAGTGAATACATCGTTGAAAGGAAATTTTGTCAGTCTGCTTGGAAGGTACTTCGTAAATGATTATAATGATGATTTGGAGGTTAGACAACCAAAAGCTTATATAATAAATCGATTATTAATAGATTGAAGATGATACGGAGGAAAATTATCGTTACGTAATCAATGAGCCGCAAGAGAGATTATGATACTTATTCTCCTTGACATTACAGAAATAGTTTCCGCAATTTAACCGTAATCGTTTTGAAATTTCGGGCAGTATAAACACACTCCCAGAGTACAATTGCTTGAATGCGTTATGTAGAACTGAATCTCCGCTTTCTATTACAAAACACAGGACAAGTAATTAATGACCAATCACAGAACGTGTCGCTTATGAATGATTGGGCGATCTGTGTCCAATCGGTTAAGTGAGTGATACACACTGACATGTTGTTGGCGTGAATGTAGATCTAGGTTGACTATAGGGCGATCTCTAAGTTGCCATCAATAGCATGGTCGCGTGAACACGGCAGAGTGAATAGGACAGTCACAAATCCCAGCGTTATGAATTCAGTTGTTATGGTGAACACTGACTTGTGGTGAACTGTCTGTGATCGCGAGTTTGTGAAGCTTGCCTGCAGAATTATTACTTTCCATGACCCATCGCTTACTGCTATCAGTCGCCTCTTGCGTGCACCCTTACACGTCCGAACACGACGACACGCTTGGATGGTGTGACGCTAACAAACGGTCCTCTCAATTGTCGGTCTCTTGTCTGTGTCCTCGGGTTGTTAGGCGGTGCAAGCAAGCCCCGACAGATTCCCCTACCAGCGTGACTTAATCAACTAAAACTACCATGTACGTTGAAATTAGGCCTTTTCATATCCTAAATTCGTGCAGTGTCCGATTAAAAAGTTGGAATAATTATCGGTGCTGCAATTGTTCTTGCAAGACAGAGCAGGTTGTGAATTGAGCGGGCGGAAATCTCGTAGAGCGTAGAAATAGTCCAGTAAAATCATCCACTGTTAACGTGAATGACGAATCTGTGTCATTATAAAACACCTGCATGTGCTATCGCTTCGATCCACTAGCCGAAGGCCCTACCAAATGCTGATTCTATTGGTCGAAAAAATCCTTCAAAGCAATTACGAAAATTGACCAGAAATGTTACCGAAGTAAGGAATCTGTTCAGCTAAGATTAAGAATTGATTAAAATCAGCTCACTTTACTACCTGGATTTTGGCAGCATCTAAATTAAACCGAAAGCGGAGTTAACCTTGAACTTCACTCAATTAAAATTTGTTGACGATTTTCATTCCTTTAAGGTCACGTGTTACACGGGAAATGCACTGACTTTTCAAACAGGAAAGCCCCATTGCAGATGCAGCTAAAACAGAAACGGCAACGAAAAGTGACTGCAGAATTGGATTTCTACGAAGGAAAATTAAGATTGCATCATGTGTCAGATTTAACGAGAATTCAGAAGGTCGTTTTAAGAAGTAGCATTAAAGCACTACGTTCTAACGTAGAAAAACGGTTAAATAAGCACGTACGGGAGACTGCTGAGGGCATATTTTTGGGTGGCAATGATGCAATGAGGCGTTAACTGCAATTGCTGGAATATGAGGGTAGAAGTAGCCTCTAAGCTGAAGAAAAAAGGCCTACCACGAAATCGATGAAGCGGAGAGAGCAGCCGCAATTCAGTGGACAGCAGGAAACACAACTTGACCCAAGGTACAGACGATTTGGTGGGTCTGACAAATTTGTCTTTGAAAATTGCTGCACCGCTGGATTTTAGTTTACTCATGTGGGCGTAAACGTAATTAACTTAATATTCAAAAACATTACAAGGACAGAAGAGGATAAGATACTCTGTAGTAGGAAGGCGGAATGCGTAACGCAAGATGGAAGCCTAGACAAGACAGATCGATAGATAGGAGTCAAGTTTACTTTCAAAAGATACTTGATGTTAGTAGTTGACGAAGGGTTCATATATATGTGCGGCAGTGCAATGAGGTGGAGACTGGTGTTTTTTGACACATATTTAAATAAGAACCTGGTTTCTGCACTGAATTACACATTAATTCAGAGACTAGACCAACTACCTCAATAAATAGGCAGACATCAACCGCTTACCTCTTCTGCTGTTCTACCTCCAACAAGGAATTTACTAAACCTACAGTTAGCCTAACCTGGTGATTAAAAGGTTTGTGTAAAAAAGTACATTTTTTTACAAAATGCGACAGTCGTGTTTACATTTAAGTTATCAGCAAAGAGTCCGCATTCCACACCTCGCATCGGTCGACAATGTAAAGACTAATGATCAGGGTGAGGGAAATGGCGAAAAACCCCAGGGGCCAGAAGAGAGCATGGAAGATGGTCGAGGGTTGGTAGACTTTGTACATGAGGGCCTCGTCGTCGTGCATGGCAGAGACAAAGCACTGAAACTGTCCCCGGCTCTGGAGGCTGAGGCGAAACATCTGAACGACGAAGTCATTCTCCTCCTGTCGCTGGTAACACGAGCTCGTGGCACACTTGAAATTCAACAAATAAGAGTTTCAAGCTTCTCAAACATTCAACTGGTAGGTAAACAGCCACATGTTTTTTGAGAGCAACATGGTAAGCCGACCTCTGCAGCATATCTTCAAATGACATCTGCTTTTGCCTGAGATTCGAATAAGACGTATAAGAAAGCATTAAATATCCCCGACTTGGTTCATATCAGGTCAGAAGGAATCCGGAAAGATGGCAGACTCAGAAGCCGGTAATGGACGCATTTGCCAAAATTAAACCACGACTTTTATATCCGACTAAGGACATATTGCACGCAACCGCCACTAATGGGTACTTAAGTGTTAGGTGGAGAGTGGCGCCTTTCGCAAATTCTTGATTCCTACATTCATTTTTGCTTACTGATGGTATGATAGGTTTCAAAATTGGGCACGTGGATAAAAAGATAAATGTATGTACACGGTATTTCTAATTTTCAGTCGATTTAACACGTTTCTTTATGTATTTCCTAACCGCTCGGTTAACTTGCCTTCTGGAATCGAAACTGAACATCTGGCAAATCAGACACATAAACAGTCCATATTGAGCCGATTCAAAGTCCCCAGTTAAATTGCAGCAAAGAAATCGTTGTTGAAAAAATATGAATCTGCAGCTAACAAAATTACTGCAGACTAAAAGAACCTACTGGAGTGGTTTGACGAAGAAAAAAGGGAAGTTAGGGGCAAGAGCGTTTTGTAAAGAACTCAGCTTTGAATAATCAGTAGGTGAGAAACCCCAAGAGAATGGTCTGCGAAGATATATCAACGTACTACAAAAAATCTAGTTTGACCACTCTTATACTCAAATAATTCTTGATAAACTTGCGTAATTAGGGCCTGAGAGTAGAATTTTTCTTGCCAACACTAACCAAAATAGGCTAAAGATTGATAAGCATTTGGCAAAAAAAACCAATTTTGCCTGCCGCCACCATTAAAATATTGTTTATAATTTGTAAATTGATTAAATTGCATGAAAATATGGGGGTTTGGTTGACAGAATCGACGGTGACATGTCACAATTCGTATTATTATCAAACATAACCGTATGCACAATTGAGTTTTGATGCAAACCACGAGTTCACAGATCACAGTAAACTTGTTGGATATTTTACTCGTTGTTTTTCAAGCATTTAAAGCATTTTTCATGACAGTAATTGAAATATTATTGGGAAGAAGTGTTTTACATTCCCTGTCTTCATTAAACTCAACACCGGTAATAGCACTGCGATAACTTACGTACTTGTGTCAGAGTGAAAAGGAAAAGGCCACAAGCCACGGGGGAAATCTAAGCTCAACCAAACCTAATATAAATTCACATTTTTAAGTTTTTTGTTTAATTAAAAATTAGGCTCTTACTCCGTAGTGGCGGTAATTTTGATGGGTCACAATTGTGTCAAACAGGAAGCCAGTTCTATTCCTGTTATCCTTTTCGAAAACGATAGTCACCTGTAGACAAGGAAATGTTGATCTCTCTTTGGAACACTTATTCTCGCACTTTAGGCGACCAGAAGGCTTCAGTTCAATTTTGACCACCGTACAAATGCCCGGTTCGAATTCGGATTCGTGGAAATATGGCAAGACCAACATGTGAACAAGGAAGGATTCCACGATGACCGAGGTAGTTAGGATTGCCGCGCAAACTATGTAGACAACTTTTATAAGGGTGCGTGCAGAGTGACTGCCTTGAAAAGATCGGATAACCATGTTTCCGGCTTGTTCATCACACGGAGATACCGACAACGACACAGAATCGCAATGTCTGTGGGAACTGGGTCGCAGGTGCTCTCTGATTGGCCAAATGTGTTGACCAATTGGCTAATTTGAAGCTTCCGTGTACTATTTCGTTTGATATTTAGAGTAACACTGGCTGCGTTTTAATGTTTATTTTATGTCCTAAAGTGGTAAACCAGTTAAAATTTACCACTTTCGGCTTCCCTTAGGCACATTTAGACTGAACACTGTTAATGATGGGATATAGAACTGTTTCAAAGTGGTTAACTCATGGAAACTTCGAACTGAATTTTCGTTAATACCACTTCACACTCCCATGCATACTTTTAAATCAAACCTGCTGCCAATTTATGTCGACTTAAAGTTATACTACAATTATTTAGATGCTCTGCCTCCAAAATTTATGGCTTCTATCAGTAGACTGTGATTATGCCAGGAAAATGTTAACAATCTGGATCTACTCCCCTGGTCAAAATCCAGAACGCGATAACCAAATGAACATTTGACGTCTTATTGGCAAGGCTTAGAAGATGCAAATGCATTACTTCGCGGTTTTGGAAACCACACCAAGGCCGGCGATATACGCCGACAAGGCCCCACCGAAAGAAGTGAAATGCAGGGGCACGTAGCTCAACCAATTTATTGATGTAGTAGTTGTGTGTGTACAGAATAGCAGGTGTTTTTACATAGCTTTGCCGAGTATCGATCTCTGAACGGAGGTAATTACGTGAAGTGCATTCCCGAAAATCGATTGAAACGTGTTCTCTCACGCCTGCTAACTGTGCTCGCTTGCTGACCGCAGTTTTTTCTCATGTCTTTGGGCAATTTTTGGTGATTTTGCAGATTTCAATTATATAGAGAGGTAATTTTAATTCTAGTCTCATTTTCGTCGGTCTAAAATAAGGAACTTTTGCCTTCTTGCCAAGGTTGGTTTTGCAAACTTTTGTCACCATGTGTCGCGCATCCAGGACGTCCTCAAAACGTCACTGCGACAAGATGAATATGTCAAAACACACTTTACGCGCAGGGTAAAGAATAGTAAACTTCTTTCCAATTGGGCAAAAATGATAGGAGAGTAAATAACATCATTGTTTTTGAAAAATTTGGAAAAAATTTAACTGATAATGATCCATCAAATAATAGTTTTCGTGATTATGAAGTTTACTTAAAAGTTGTGAATGCTGGCCCGAGGAGAGAATCAATTGGGTTGAATAGCAGTGTTTAACTACATTTGCCGACATTGTCGGGGAGGAAGAAGGTAGTCCAGTCAATGAAATTTAACTCTTCGCCAATTTCCCAAGGACTAGCTTTAGGTATGAAGTACCAACAAGTAGGCCGGAGATCGGAAGGAGGAGGTGCGCCGTGCCACCTCGGATAATTTGGGTTCATCATCACACAGTTGTGGGTAAAAACAGACAAAGTGGATCAGATGCATATGATTTCACAGAGATGGCTAGGAAAGTGATGGCTGCCTTGCTTGCTGAGGCATTGTAGGTAGAAGGAAGAAGAAGGAAGGTATTGTAGGTAGAAGGAAGAAAGAAGAAAGAACAGTGGTGACTGATGTGAAGATGCGTGGGTGTCTGAAATTGCTATCTCCAGAAGGAAAGAACAGACGAGGCTAAGTAGTGAACCACTGTTACAACGGTGTTACTTGACTGCGTTCCCTAGGAAGTGTGGAAATTGAGTTTTAATATAATATTCTAAATTAATAAACTGGCCACACATGTGTTGGTTTTTCTTCAGCCTTTGGACTAAAAAACTAGTTTGCAGGGACACAAAATTATGGTATGGTAGCCATCGTTTAGTTTAATGGAACAACGAAACGATGTGGCAATAGTTGGAACAATGTAAGATGATATGAATAATAGTTTTCTAAAATGCAAGAAAAAGCTTTTGTCGCAAATGCGAAAACAAAAGGCTGCATGATAACTAAAAATTAGCGGCATAACGTTAAGACGGTTATGAAGGCAAACCTAGGTCCAAGTTAGCTGGTGTGCTCATCCTACTTTCCTACTGAAAAACAACGCTTAAACACGATTAGCTATTATTGTGTCGTTGAAAGTTAGAAAATTCATGTTTGGCCAAATTATCTAAATTTTCACTGCCCTTAACAATAACACTACACCAATGCCATTTTCACTGCTTACAACAATTTTGGTTCCTCAATGACATTAAAAATAAACATCATGTGCACTTAAAAACAATCCCAAGCACGATGATAAAGGCTACGAAATTTGTGGGTCCGAATTTAGGACTGTACGCCCAAACGAATTAGGTTAGCAAGTAAATCAGACACACAACAGTTTCCAATTTATTGTGACGTTCGCACCAAATTTCAAGCCTCGTAGTTAGGCGC